GAAAGGAGTTTTTGAGTTGATACAGAAATTGAGAATCGTTCTCAAGTATGAGAAAAAATGTATGTTCTCAAACAACCAATTCCTAACAACTGAATATAACTAGATTCAAAGAACGATACTTGTGAGAAGGATCAAGTCAAATGTCTAGATATAACATATCTCATAATTGAAGTAGTAACGGAGAATAATATGATCATTAACCTCATGGATTTTCGTTTAAATAAAAAATAAAAGATATGAGAAATGTAAGACTTTCAGAAAAATTATAATTTGTATCATATGAAGCAAGAACACCTCTAAGAATCGGCATGTCGAAAATTCCAACACACGTCGATGCCCGACACTTGTACGACATGTGTTAGACAAATAAAACAAGTGTCTCAAAAATTTTATTTTTTTCTTTACTTCAAAACTCTTTGAATTGATGCCCGATACCCAAATAACACTCATCCCACAAGTGCCACACAATTCATACAAGACTTTAACAAAAACTTTACAAGAGTTAAAAACACGCGCGCACATATATATATATATATATATATATATATATATATATATATATATATATATATATATATATATATATATATATATATATATATATATATATATATATATATATATATATATATATATATATATATATATATATATATATATATATATATATATATATATATATATGTGTGTGTGTCCTATATTTTTTATATTGTTAGTGTCTAAGTATCCTTGTTGTTTGATCACTAACATGGATGGTCCATCTTTGCTGAATCAAAAACATATTTTAATAAAAATTTTACTGGTATCATCTCTCTACAATATAGGCCTAGATTTTTTTTTTGTCTATGTTATACAAATAGACAATGTGAACCAATTACAAGATCAATAAGAAAATATAGCTTTGATTTGAGAGAAGAGACTCATATTGAAGATGCAGCATAAAATAAAATTTTACTGTGTCTTGAGAAGGCTTTATATATATTAATTTAGCATGATATACGGGTACAAAATAAAGTTCTCTTCTTCTTGTTTGGCATCAACATTTTAGAGCGTCTCTGATATTTGTTTCATATTACTTTTCATGGTTTATTTATTATAGAAATTTGAAAAAATTACACGAGATGTCCTTTAACTTTTTTTTAACAGATTAGTTCTTCAAATTTTTTTTTTATAATAATTTGGTCGTTAGGATAATTTCTATATCAAGTTTTTTTTTATAACAATTTGGTTGTTAGGATAATTTCTATATCATTTTCTCAAATTTTGAACATAAAGAAATGTGTGAATCTTATATTTCTAGTTGCACATCATCATTTTTATACCAATCAACATAATTAAATCCACAATTAGCACCTCCTTTATGCTATAAAAAGGTAAGAGTGCTCGATAACTTAAATAACTAAGTTGTTATAAAAAAATTAAGGATCAATTTGTTAAAAGAATAATTTAAAGGACCTTTAAAGTAATTTTGCCTTAAAATTATTTGATGGTTTATCGGCTATTGAAAATATATGATGGTTTATTTGTTGTAGAAAATATTATAATGGTTTAATTGAATACCTAATTTATTTTTATAAGTTTGGTGAATACACTAAAAAACGGCATTTTCAAAAATAATACGGAGGTTTAAGCCGCTACAATTAACAAAAATGTGTTAGATAATCCTTCTATGTCGAATGGATCCAGACTGAATCGTGAACGAAATCACTTTCCTTAAAAGTATTTCAAGCACACTCTCAGATTGTCTTAGAGTTGGAACGGCCTGAATACCCAGGATAAGTCAGCCTTTTTCTCGAAACTGCACAAGACTGATGAAGTTTCGAATGCAAGGAAAATGTTGGAATTATATGGAAGAGGATTTCAGATTGGGATCCAAGACGTAGTGAACCTTGAGTGCAGTAAGTAGGAACGTCATCTTGTCTTGCCATCTGGTAAAGTTGTTTCCATCGAAGCGATCCAATCTGACACCAATTCCAGAACCAACTGCAGATGATTCTGACGAACTCAAGAAGAAGCGCATGCTGCGAAGGGAGGACGAATTACTATGCCGTGGGCATATTCTGAACACGCTGTCTGACCGTCTATACGACCTATACACAGACAATCCGTCCGCTAGAGACATATGGAATTCACTAGAATTTAAATTCAAAGCCGAAGAAGAAGGTACGAAAAAGTTCTTAATTTCTAAATACTTTGATTTTAAATTTATAGATTCCAAGCCCATACTTCCTCAAGTGCACGAATTGCAAGTCCTGGTGAACAAAATCAAAGCGGTGAAAATAGACATTCCTGAAACCTTTCAAGTTGGTGCAATCATTGCGAAGTTACCAAGTTCGTGGATCCATTCGACATAGAAGGATTATCTAACAAAATGGTGTTTTCAAAAACACCATAAGGTTTAATATTAAATGCCACACTAACCTCCATTTTTTTCATAAGTGGCATTTTAATATTGAAAATAATATCAGTTTTAAATGCCATAAACTGCACTTGAAAACATGTATCTACAAATTATACGTCAGTTAAAATCGTCATAATATACTGTGAATTATGTCCTTTTGAACTGCCATAATTTACTACCTCTTTTAACCACACAAAAATTATAAATCACCATTATTTTAATATAATTTTTTTTCTTTTAAATATGATAAAATAAACTTTAGTTTTTCATCACAACTTATTACCAGCATTAAAATAAATTTAAAATTTCTTAATTGATAGTAATTTTTGTAAAAAAAAATTAAAGCACATATAATAATAACTCAATAATTTTATAGAGTTCTTATTAGTGAATCCTTGTTTGTTTGGAGAAGGCAAACAAAGTGAGAATTTGTTTGGTAATAAAAGGTTTGAGTCGATAACAACGTTTTAAAATTGAAACGAAACGATCGATTTAATTGGCTGGACCAACAACTAGATATAAATTCAATTAGGTTAACCTTTTTAAATCGTTAGTGAATTAAAACCGGGAAAATTCGACAAAATTGTCCAAAACCATTCGAACTAAAGAATCATAGATGATTTTGTAAAATCGTCTGGTTAAAAAAAGCATCAAATTGGCTTTTATTTAAAAAAATATCTAAAATTTTAATATGTCAATAAGAAAACTTAAATATATTCCCCAATCACAAAATTTTTTTTCATGTTTTTCTTTCAACCACACTCATTCATCAGCACACCGTCTATTTCAAACATAGTCACACTGTCCAACTTAATATTTATTGTAGTTCAAGTCAATATTGTTTGTTGTTGTCAATTATGACTTGTTTGCTATGATTCAACTTGAATTCATTTTTTGTTAGTTAATTAAGTGTTCTTAATTGTTTAAATTTTATTTTAGTTATCATATTCTATTGTTTTAATTTAGATTTGAATTAGTTTAACTTATTTTATTTTTATTTTTTATTTTTTAATAAGCAAAAATATATAATCCAAGCATACAAGGGTATCCTAACCCAAATACAAAAATAACCTTCCACCCTCAAACATTTTATTGTAATTATTTAATTTGTTTAAATTATTCTTAAATAAAGGTTGAAATAAAGTATATAACTATAATATGTTATTATATGTACTATCGATATTGTTGTATTTAGTTTCTAATGAATTTTTGAAATATTTATTTTATTAAGTTGTGAACATATGATTATGTGTGACATATTTATGAAATTTAATTTTATATTATTAATTAATTTAATAAATTGTTCGATCATAAATTTAAGTGATTGAACCAATCGAATGTTCAACAGAAAGTTTTACTGTTTTGATCTCCGATCGGATTTTAAAAAAATTTGTTTGGTAATAAAAGGTTTGATCTTGCAAGACCAATAATACCTTTGGTTTTATTTTGTGCGCCATTTAGTGGTGAATCATCAGTGACTCTATCAGTATCAATGCAACTTGAAAGCAAACCAGAAACTCTATATTGAGAAATGAAAATGAAATCTTGACCAAGGCCACCGACAAAAATAAATGTTATTTGTGCTACCTAATTTGAAGGGGCCATCATAAGCAATAATGCATTCTAAAGATATTATTCTTGGGATATCGTTGGAGAGGATTTTTCGAACTGCATTCTGGAATTCTTCAAAACCGGTTACCTTCTAAAGATGTTCGCGTCATCCTTCATTTCGTTGGTTCCGAAGGTTAACAATCCTCAACATTTTAAAGAATTCAGGCCTATAAGCTTAGTCAGTTGTGTCCTTAAGACTATTTCTGAGTTGCTTGCCTGCAACTGGGTAAGATTATTCACAAACTTATCTCCCCTTCTCAAACTGCATTCATTATGGGGCGTCGGATTTTTGATGGAGTTCTTTTGACTAGTGAAATAGTAGATTATGCTAAAATGTATAAGAAGGATTGCCTATTCTTTAAAGTCGATTTTCCTAAGGCGTATGACTGCATGGATTGGTCATATCTTGAAGATATGCTTATTAATATGGGCTTTGGTAGCAATTGGTTAAAATGGATTCATGGTTTCATGTTCAATAGCTACGCGTCGATCTTAATCAACGGAAGCCCTACGAAAGATTTCAAGGCTGGAAGGGGATTGAAGCAGGGAGATCCTTTAACTCTTTTTGTTTACCATTGTCGCAGAGGGTTTGGCAAGTTTGGTGAGATTTGCTACAACTAGTAATATGCTGTCAGAATTCAAAATTCATGATCATCTTATTGTTAGTATACTCTAGTTTGCTGATGATACGCTGCTTATAGGAGATGGTTCGGTTACAAATATTTGGGCCTTCAAGGCTATTTTGCGAGCGTTCGAATTGACCTCTGGCCTTAAAATTAACTTCTCTAAAAGTTCTCTATATGGGATTGGAGTTGAGTTTGATTTCCTATCAGCTGCAGAACTATTCTTACATTGCAAATCCGGAAGTCTCCCGTTCAGATTTCTTGGCCTAACTGTCGGTGGTAATCATCACCGTTGTTCTTTCTGGAATCCGATGTTATCTTGTCTGAGGTACATACTTTCTAAAAGGACCGGGCGGAATTTGTCTATGGGGGGAAGAGTGTCTCTCATTAATTCGGTTCTTTTTAACCTCTCAATTCATCATCTGGCCTTCTACAAGGACCCCAAGAAAGTTGTAAAGGATTTCATCACAATCCAACATAGGTACTTGTGGGCTGGGAATTCTAAAAATAGATTCGTTTCTTGGATATCTTGGAAATTAGTCTGTAAACCGAAAGAATTCAGATGTCTTGGAATAAAACACGTCGGTCGATTTAATCGTGCTATTCTCGCAAAGTGGTTATGGAAGTTCCATAGTGGTGGGAATGAAATTTGGAGGAAGACTCTCACTAACAAATATGGTACTCTAAATATCAAGGTGCATACTTATCTAGATGTTGGTAGTTTGAAGACTGACTCTCTTTGGCTGAAGGATATTTTGTCGATCTCAATTTCCGAGCCTCACGATAACTTTTGCAACTTTATGGGCTGTTCTGTTGGAGACGGCTCAGGTGTGGCTTTTAGGAAGTCGAATTGGATTGGTGATACGCCACTGAAAGTTATATTCCCTCGTTTGTTCCAGGCCTGCAGATGCAAGGCGTCGTCCTTAAGTGAGATGGGAGAGTGGGATGGTGAGCTGTGGCGGTGGAACCTGCTTGAATCGATGGATACTACAGTTACTCCTCCTGAACCTGACAGGAGCGACTGCCGCATGTTGCTGGAAGCTTCCTCTGTTAAAAAATAAGTGTTTGATGAATGGCATTGGTCGCTTCACGACTCTATATCGTTTACAGTTAATTCATTTTACTCTTCCTTGATTTTTTCTTCTTCTGTCAACGATATTGACGCTGATAGTGCAGCTCTTTTGGAGTTATGATGGAAGACAGTCATTCCGATGAAAGTTAAAATTTCCAATTGGAGGATGGCGCTCGATAGATTGTCCACAAGATCGAATTTGTTGGCTAGAAGGGTAATTGACAATGAGCACGATAAGGTTTGTGTGTTTTGTTTCTGTCACTTAGAGGATGCTTCTCATTTATTCTTCTCGTGCCACAAATCTACCTTGGTTTGGTACACGAGTCTTATAGATCGTTGTATAGTGTATCACCCCACTTCCCCAAAATTAAATAAAATACAATTATTTCAAATAAACATCAGAGTTTCCCCTCACAAGAAAATATCACATCAAATAATTCAACACAAATCTTCATTAGTTGGTTTTCAAAATAAACAGCGGAAATAATCATTAATCCAATATTCTCGGCCATCCGCCCAATTTACATAAAATTGTTCATTAACAAGTTCACCAAATACGATACGTCACAGGAGTAAAGCAAGTTCAATATAAACCAAATAAACACCCAAGTCCCGTGCTACGTATCAGAGCATCCTAAGACTCGACTCGCACACCACTATCCAAGCTAGCTAAGTACCTGGATTATCTGTACCTCCGAAGGAGCACAAACCACGACAACAACAAAGGGGTGATAAAACATCATCAAAATTATCGGTAATAAGATACATGAAATAAAGGTAGCAATCATATAAAATATCACCCAACATGCATCAACCACGACCTACTGTCCAATCATCAAACACAACACACAATAATGCAAATATGCAACTCAACACCATACATGCGGTACCGACTTATTGGTTCATTCAATCGAACCCCGGATAGATCACATACACCCCTCCTTGGCAATGATCTATCCCCACAATTCTCCACAAAGGAGTACGGATGAATCGCATACACTCCTCATGAGCAACGATTTCATCCCACCATAACATTATGATATGCACGACACCAAATGCATAACAAATAACTCAAGCACACTAAGTGCACACGATCCTCCTGATCACATCACCATACATCATATTTATATTATACACCAATTAATCATATCAATTAAATCAAATGTCATGGGAATTCATATTCTAACACCCAGTATACACTCTTCACCACCAAACATCATCCCTACCAAACATCAGCATTGGTTGGAAACCACAAAAATCAAACAATGTTGTCACGCTCGCCACCCTGCTCGCTTAGCGAGGCTCTAGCAAATGTTCCCTACTTGCTCGCTTAGCGAATATGCTAGCGAAGGCAGACAGTGGCTACTGGAAGTGTTCACTACCTAGCTCGCCTAGCGAGTCCCTAGCGAATGCTCGCTACCCTACTCGCCTAGCGAACCTGCTAGCGAGCGTCTGCGATAGTCAAAAACCCTCACTGTCCAAGAATGTTACCTTGCTCAATTCCAAGCCTATTACTCTTAATCTATATTCTACTATTATTACTACAACTATTATACACTACTCTAATCAATTGTTCCTCAAACCTTCTCTCCAGAACCAAAACTCATGGTCATTACCAAATCACAAAAGTTACACAAAACCCCACCAAAATCACAATTCTGCTACGTTACGCAGAAACTCACCAAAATCGCAACAATATATGCACAAATTCATCAATAGCAGCAACAATCATAAACATAACAATATCCTCATCTTGTTCATCAAATCCCTATGGGGTTAAGGAATCCCCTCTACCCAATTCATGTAAAGTACCAATCCCAATCAGTTTTTCCCCCTTACCTCGATTAATTGCTCAGACTGTTGAAGAACTCTGAAGAATAGGTAGCCCTAGCCTTGCTTCTCTTCCTCCTTGCTCTTTTCCTTACTCTTTTCTCTCCATTGGTTTTATCGTGAAATTCTAACTCCTCTTTACCCCAAAACTTTTCTTATATTTCTAAATCCTTATTTCACTTATTCCATCCGCTAATAATAAAAATAATAATAACAATAATAATAATAATAATAATAATAATAATAATAATAATAATAATAATAAAATTATCATCATTATTAATTATATTATCTTAATATTAAACTCTATAGCTTATTAAATAATCCCTATAAATTAAGGACACCCACCAACACGCTCAAACACACCCTCACATAAGGACACACCAAAATGAAATAACACCAAAAAAACTAAATAATTAAAATGGGTGTTACAACTCTCCCCCACTTTAATAATTTTCTTCCTAAAAAATTACCTGATGGAAACAATTCCAGATACGCTTCCCGCATCCTGCTTTCCAATTCCCAGGTCACACTGCCTCCTGCAGCACCTCCCCAAACCACTTTCACCAAAGATATCTCTTTCCCTCGGAGTTGTTTCATCTTACGATCTTCGATCCTCAACGGCATCGTCTCAACGGTAAGATTCTCCCGGACTTGAACTTCATCTCTCTGAATCGCATGCGATGGATCCGAGACATACTTTTAAAGTTGCGACACATGAAACACGTCATGCAAATTTGACAGTTCAGGCGGCAACGCCACCCTATAAGCCACAACACCAATCCTCTGCAAAATCTGATACGGTCCAATAAACTTAGGAACTAGCTTCTTGGACTTCAACGCGCGACCCACACTTGTCACTGGGTTAACTCTTAGGAACACGTGATCACCTTCACTGAATTCCAGTTCTTTCCTTCGGTTATCATGATAACTTTTCTGCCTACTCTGAGACACTTTCATTCTCTCACGAATCATTTGAATTGTCTCAGTAGTTTGCTGCATAATTTCTGGTCCCAATACCACATTCTCACCTGTTTCATACCAACACAGAGGAGTTCTACATCTTCTACCATATAAAGATTCAAACGGTGCCATTCCGATACTAGAATGGTAACTATTGTTGTACGTGAACTCGATCAATGATAAATGAGTATCCCACGCACCATCCTTTTCCAACACACAAGCTCTTAGCAAATCCTCCAGCGACTGAATAGTCCTCTCTGACTAACCACCGGTTTGCGGATGGTAAGTTGAACTCAGCTTCAACTTAGTACCCAAAGCTTCCTGTAAACTCCTCCAAAATTCTGAAGTAAACCTCGGATCTCTATCCGACACGATACTCGACGGAACACCATGTAGCTTCACAATTACCCGAACATAAATCTCTACCAGCTTCACCAACAGAAAGCTGATATTAATCGGCACAAAATGTGCAGACTTCGTAAGTCGATCCATAATTACCCAAATAGCATCAAATCCTCTCGCCGTATTCGGCAAACCCGTAACAAAATTCATGGTTATACAATCCCATTTCCAAACCGGAACTTCCAACGGTTGCATAAATCCAGAAGGTCTCTGATGTTCTACTTTCAACTTCTGACATATCAAACAGGCGTAAACAAATTGAGCTATATCTCTTTTCTTACCTGACCACCAAAATAACTTCTTTAAATCGTGGTACATCTTCGTAGCTCCCGGATGGATACTCAAACTACTACGATATCCTTCACTCAGAATTGACTTTTTCAGTTCATCATTATCTGACACACAAATCCTGCCTCTGAATCTCAACACACCTGTACTATCCAACTCAAAATCACTATCGGAGTCACTTCCTACTCCAGGCATCAAATCCAATAACTTCACATCTAGCTTTTGGTTTTCTCTAATTATATCCAGGAAATCGTTGTTCACTTGCAACTTGCCCAACATCACACCATCTGTCGTTGTCTCACAAACCATGCTCAAATCTCTGAACTGCTCAATTAGTTCAATTTCCTTCACCATCAAAGTCGACATATGAATCGTTTTTCGGCTCAAAGCATCGGCTACTACATTCGCCTTTCCTGGATGATAACTCAAACTGAAATCGTAATCCTTCAAGAATTCCAACCATCTTCTCTGTCTCAAATTTAGCTCCTTCTGATCGAACAAATATTTCAGACTCTTATGAATATTGAACACCTCAAATCTCGAACCATACAAATAGTGCCTCCAGATCTTTAACACGAAATCTATCGCAGCCAATTCAAGGTCATGAGTAGGGTAATTCCTTTCATACACCCTCAATTACCGCGAAGCATATGCCACCACCTTACTATTTGTTGTTACTACAAAAATCGAGGTCGGCAATGACAGAAAAGTCGCCACCGTGCGTTATTTATCCCAAGAGAGGGAAAGGAAACGCTCAGAGAAAACCTAATGAAAAGAGGGATAAGATCGGTCATCGCAACCAAATCTCGGGTTCGGGAGTCGATTACGCAAGGGGAAGGTATTAGCACCCCTCACGTCCGTCGTACTCGACGGGATCCACGCTTGTTGTCTAGTCTAAAATGGTGTAAATCTATCTATGCTAAAGGCTCACGGGGGCAAAAGAAAAGAAAAATGACTCGATAAAGCATCGCCGCTCTATGCCTACGTATTCCCTCGTGCAATGGGAAAGTCAGAGTCAACTTAGTTTGGAAAACTACGGGTGAAAGTGGAGGAGGTTGCTCGCCAAGACATCGTTGTCTTGTGCCTACGTACTTTCATCTGGTATGAAAGACCAGAGCAAACGTAGTTCGGGCTAAAAGGGAACACAGGTTTGTTAAACTGTTTTACCCGAGTAGGGTTAACAACCAGTTCTAGCAGTTTGGTGCATGCAGCTCGACCATTGGAGACTTAGGCGTTACCGTTTGCGATAGAACAAAGAGTTAACAAAATTCTCCTTATAAAAATGATTTTTCAAGGTTAATTTTCCCAAGGGACAAAAAAGAAGTTTGATTGTTTGTTTTTCGTGTTTTTTAGGAGAAGGAGTGTTTTGAATGAATGTTTGTAATTCATATCGCACTAGAGACTATGACCTAGGAGTGAATGTGTCGCATGTCACCCAAGAGGTGTCACGCTAAACACTCTAGCAACTGAGAGGAAACTCCTCAATCACTATTTCCCAAGTAGCTT